ATTGCGTAAGTTATAAAATTCCGAAAACAATTTTCACGGACCAGCTTAAATAGATTTACGCCTCTGCGTTAAAATTGGTTCATTTTAGTCTCACAAAAATAAAAACAGCAACGTGCAGACTAAAAAATCAGTATGTCATTTTCAATCTCATTTATTGCTGATATTCGTTTTCTAGCTCTCGTGCAAAATTTGTAAAATGTTAGTTATGCCGGTACGTGCGGAGACCGACGATATGCATACAGTATGTGAAACAGATCAGACCTGTGCCTATATGTACGTACGTACATGTATATGATACAAATGTATCATCCTTGACTCAGTCCCCACTGAAGCCGTTTAGTGTCGCCAGAAGAGGTTCTAATACATCGATATGGTGTCTAGAAAGAAATCATGGAAGGAAGTTTACAATATACAACCTTATATCTGACGATTTCTTTGTATACACAGTGACACCCGTATTACGTGACTTAAAAAGTGACGGTATATCGATTTTTTATTACTTTATGAAAGGTTTTCTATAAAATGCACCTTTGAAATAGCTGCCATTCACTTCATGCTCACTTGTAGTAAGCACGGAATGAACATACTAGCGGCTATCTAGTGCACAAACTGACATTTTACCGATTTTTTGACATTATATAGGTTTTTTATGTAATAACCCTGTCGATCACCTACAGCGCATTGTCATTGCACAAAACATAACGTTTATTTTGAAATACAAACAAAAACACACACACACACACGCACACACCTACACACGCACACCCACACGCACACGCACACGCACCCGCACACGCGCACACACCCACACGCGCACGCACGCACACACACACACACACACACAAAATAATGAACAAAAGAAATATTTCCAGAAAAAACAGGTGTGGTTGTGCAAAACACAAGTGCATGTCACTTTGAAAGATTTGTACTGTAAAAATCTCGACATGACCCCATGACCGGCAGGGGTATTATGTAACTTGAAAAGGCGTCCACTTGGAACTAGCTGGCGTTCACTTCATGCTCACTTATAGCAAGCGCAAAATGAACTATTTGCACACTAGCCCACTTAATCAACAAGTTGACATCTTATTGTTCTTTTTTTGACATTATACAGGGTGTTTTAGAAGTCAATACATCTAGTTTAACTGCTTGTAGGACTCCGAGGAGTTGATATACCAAAAATCACCTATATGAAAGTTGCATAATAAAAGAAATAGTAAAAAATTTAAAAAAATAAAAATACTATTACACAGATCTTTTGACATTCTCAACCACTGCCGTGTATAATCTTAGCATTTTTTGTTTACTACTTTCATCGTTTATCTAGATTTGGCAAACTTTTCGTGTTATTGTATGGTTTTCAGTACGAGTATTTGGTTCGATCAGCTGTATCACTCTTTTAATAGTACGTATACTTTCATTATTTTGTGCGAAAAAATGGCCCACGTTTACGACAACAATGAACTAGTGGACATAATACTAACACACGGAAAGTGCCAGCAAAATGTAGCCGCAGCATGCAGGTTGTATGCGGCAAGGTTTCCTTTAAGAAAAATTTGTAAATTTAGTTATTAGACTTTGTGACACAGTATCTATAAAAGAACAACCAGGAGGTCATGCTGGAAAACCTGCTCAACCTGAAACGTTACAAATTGCAGAAGACATTTTAGAAATGGTCGAAGACGAACCAACAATGAGTAATTGTTCCATAGCAGCTCAAGTTGAAGTTTCCCATAGAACAGTTCGGCAGAAATTAAGTTTTTATGAAATTAATTTTGTGTACAGACCAGACAACATTTATACGAAATGGAGTGCACAATTTCGACAACAATTTATGTTTGGGCAGTAGGAAATTCTCACGCTGTAAAAAGAACTCATTTTCAACATAGATTTTCATTAAACGTTTGGGCTGGACTGGTAAATGGCTTACTTATTGGACCCTGCTTTTTTCGACCTCGACTGACCGGTGAAATTTATTTTAAATTTTCTTCGACACAATCTGCCACAATTATTATAAGATGTTCCTCTAAATGTGAGACAGAATATGTGGTTCCTACGTGATGGGGCTCCACCACATTTAGGACAAGAAGTTCATGAATATCTAAATAATGAGTTTCCGAATAGACGGATAGGGCGCAATGGAGCCATTTCTTGGGCTACTCGCTCCCCGCATTCAACGTCTTGCGATTTTTTCTGTGGGGCCATCATGATGGATCAGTAAATACTCTGGAAGAACTTTAACAGCACACTGAAAATGCTTGTGATTTAATTCGTGGACACCAGGATTTTATTTTCGAAGCGTGTAAAGAGTCGTGTATTCTCCGAGTAAGATTTTGCGTTAATCGAAAAGATGGGGACAATTTTGAACAGTTTTGTAAAAACGGTATCCATTTAACTTGATAAAGATTTTTCTAAATAATTTCTAATAACGTAAGCTAACTCTCTTATTATGCAACTCTTATATAAGTGATTTTTGGTATATCAACTTCTTTTGACGAGTTCTACAAGCTGTTAAAATAAATGACACAACGTTGAAAATACTCTGTATAGGTTTTTTACGTAATATCCCTGCATAGACATTATGCCGTATACTCTAGGCATTCCATATCGATAGACAGCTTTTCCAAAATTTTCCGCTCTACTTATTTTTTGATCGGATCAATCGATCTTAGTCAGCTGAAATTCGGTGTAATAAAATTGATGCGGGAATACTATCTTTTAGCATAAGAGTGGCAATTGAAGACCTCAAAATGGCGTATGAGGGCATAGGACATGTTCTCATATTTTTCTCTATAGTAGATAATTTAATCGCTCATGTTTGCCTGGCTGAATCAAACCACAAATATGTTTAAAATTCTCTTATCTACCAAACTGTTGAATTTTATATTATTTTCTCACAGGAAAAAAACATGGTTCCCTTTAGATATCGAAGCAACATTTCTCGCAATTAGTAATAACAATAACAGTCATAATAATCCGTCTTTATTGATCTTTATAGACAAATAAAATACGTTTTCTAAAATACAATACCAATGGCAAGTAGGTATTGTACACCGCTGGAAGGCAGCGCCAAAATAAGTTCATAATTAAACTAAGTAGAACTAAACCAAAAGCTCGATGAAGTAGCCAAAGAAAAATCTATAGTAAATGAGGTTTTTTAAAAAGGGTTGAACAACGCAAAAAACGTACATGTTGTGATTATGCTTGTAAAAAGAGAACCAACCAATTTTGCTATATGATTATAAATATCTTTAAACAATAATAAAGAAATAACAAAAAAATCAAACTTAGAAAATACTATCATTTAGAAATTTAGATGATGAACATCTTTCGAGTTATGAAATGTTTAATTAGACCAGGAGGATTTGAACTGATGCGTAAAGTTACACAGGTGAAGGATTCTCCTATTTCTCATGTTAAGCCGTTCACATTCCTTGATTTTGTGTGATAGGTACCTATAGGGTCATACTTCCTTATTCCGTAAACCAGCCTACAGTAGCTATTTTGAACTCGTTGTATTATTGTTATATCAGCACTATTTAAACACGACCCATAAATCAAGCTACAACAGTTGGAATGGCTAAGCATCAAGTCTCACACACTGTTTTCCTGAGAATCACAGAAAATGAGCACATCAGATCATTTCAAATCAGTAAACAATGCACATACAACATATAATAATAATAATAATGATAATGATAATGATACTGATAATGATAATGATAATGATAATGATAATGATAATGATAATGATAATGATAATGATAATGATAATGATAATGATAATGATAATGATAATGATAATGATAATGATAAGATATGATAATGATAATGATAATGATAATGATAATGATAATGATAATGATAATGATAATGATAATGATAATGATAATGATAATGATAATGATAATGATAATGATAATGATAATGATAATGATAGATAATGATAATGATAATGATAATGATAATGATAATGATAATGATAATGATAATGATAATGATAATGATAATGATAATGATAATGATAATGATAATGATAATGATAATGATAATGATAATGATAATGATAATGATAATGATAATGATAATGATAATGATAATGATAATGATAATGATAATGATAATGATAATGATAATGATAATGATAATGATAATGATAATGATAATGATAATGATAATGATAATGATAATGATAATGATAATGATAATGATAATGATAATGATAATGATAATGATAATGATAATGATAATGATAATGATAATGATAATGATAATGATAATGATAATGATAATGATAATGATAATGATAATGATAATGATAATGATAATGATAATGATAATGATAATGATAATAATAATAATAATAACCCGTGTGGAGTTGCTAGTCTCCCATCGGGCGCCTCCCTGTGCGAATTGGGACACGCTCTCCAGATATGGAGGGTACCGGGGAAATAAAATACCCGGGGTGGACAAAACTAGCACCACCGCTCTATAGGTTAGGACCCCTAGAACGTGTATATTTAAATGCTCTTAAAACGAGAAATAAGAGATACTCAGGTGGGCCGGCGCAGCAGGAGCCGGGTCGGAGCCGTCTTGAAGATTTACCTGCAACCTACCGCGGCAATGAACAAGGACCAACCAGATTACCAACTCAGTCAAGTACACCACCACCAAACGTACCAAGCCAAGATGTCGGTGTTGCTGAGCCATCAGAGCCCATGCCCACCACGTCACAAGGCACAGTTAGGCAAAGAACCATGTGAACAGAAGAAATCAATGCATTCATGGTTCGCTGCTATTACAGATTAACCCGACTAGAAACCGCCAAAACTCCATACAGCCGAGAACTACATAGACTGGTAACTGAAACATTCCCAATGCTTCGTCATAAGACTATACAAAATATCATAGACCAGCGAAGATCTATATTTATAAATAGACGCCTATCACCAGGTATTATTACACAAATAAAGTTGCGATAGAACTATCTATAAATTTACCTTCTGATCTCCCCAATGCTGACGATGAACCAGCGGCCCCAGTACCGGAAGCCAACAGACCACCATCTGCTGCTGAGCTGGAATTCGATGGAATGGACCCTATGATGAAACCTAGACTTCCCAAAATAATTTATAATAACAAGACAAAATCTATATTGGGTGAAATCAACAACATTCTGGATTCCAAAATAAATCTGATATACCCATCGAAAATCTGCACAGCCTTATTTATAGTGGAGCAGCAGCGGTGCTAACACTAAGCAAGCAGAATATCTCCACGGACACTCAAGTTAAAAATGTCCCAGTCACGCCAGCATTTCAGCGCCGAATTACTAATAAAATCGATAGTATCAGGCGGGACATAGGAATTCTGACACAAAATCAAAGCTTGAACCCCAGCAGCTCAGTCACTAAGAAAGCCAAAGCCATTCTTGAAAGGGAACAAAGCCTCGAAAATCCAACAGAAACAGAAATACTGGATCACCTTAAACAAAAACTCAAGGCTATGGCTAAAAAACTCCGACGGTATAAGGAAAGCAACACAAGACGTCAACACAATAGTCAGTTTAGCAGGAGTGAAAGGAGCTTTTATAAAAATTTAGAGTCTGAAGATCACGAGATTGAAACCCTGCAAGAAAATAAGGTCCCCACACCAGAGGCCATGAAAACGTTTTGGGAATCAAGCTGGGGAAACCGTGTGATTCACAACAATACCAGAGGTCTACATCTAACCTACAGACAATGTTCTAATGGGAAGTATCAACCGACCAAGTAACCAAGGCTATAAACAAGACCTTGAATTAGAAGGCATCTGGACAGGATAAAATCCAAAATTTCTGGTATAAACAATTCAAGGTCATTCATCAATATCTAGCTAAATGTTATATCACTTATTTGTTACCAAAAACGAAGGTGTCCTCAGAAGATCCATACAAATATAGGCCGATCACCTGCCTTCCTACAATATATAAAATATTCACGTCCATCCTATCGGAAAAGATATACAGCCACCTGGAAAGAAATAACCTGTTGGACGAAGAGCAGAAGGGTTGCCGAAAAGGATCCAGAGGGTGTAAATAACAATTAATAATAGATACGGTCATCACATCTCACGCGAAACGCTCAAAAGGCTCTTTGCACACAGCGTTTATAGACTATCAAAAAGCGTTTGACAGTATTCCTCACTCCTGACTATCCGAGGTGCTGCAGCTTTATAAAGTCGAGACCCATGTACTGAATTTACTGAACTACGCCATGTCTCAGTGGAAAACCAGAATTGTCTTAAACACCAACCAAAAAAGTGTAGATGCTGGTACCATTAAAATAGAAAATGGAATATTCCAAGGGGACGCATTAAGTCCGCTATGGTTCTGTCTGTCGCTGCGACCCCTGACAACTATGTTGAATAGGCAGCGCAAAGGTTATATACTGCCACACTCAGACAAGAATATTAGCCACCTTTGGTACATGGATGATTTAAAGCTGTATGCAAAGTCTAAAAAACACCTTGACGACCTTCTGACTTGCGTCATCCTATTCAGTCGCGACATGAAAATGTCATTTGGGCTGGACATATGTAGGACCAGCGGGATGGAGAAGGGCCAGTGGGTACATTACGCGGGATATGAAGTTGCTGAGCGGCAATGGAAGAGGGAGAAAGGTACAAATATCTTGGATATCTGCAAGCAAGAGGTCTAGATCATACAGCAGCAAAGCAGACAGTAAGTGACACCTACATTAAAAGAATCCGGTCGATACTGAAGACTAAGCTGTCTGCCAGGAACATGGCAAAAGCAGTTAACACCTATGCCACATCTGCAGGTTCTTATAGCTTTGGAGTGATTCACTGGACAGCAACAGAACTCGAAAACCTCAATATCAAAACCAGAAAAGAGTTCAGCAAATTTCTAGCACATCACGTTCATCATTGGAAAGGTTCCACTTGCCTAGACAGTTGGGTGGAAGAGGTATACCTGATCTAGTTATTAACCACAACAGGCAAGTAACAAACCTTAGGAACTACTTCCTCGCCAGGGCTGCGTCCAGTGAGATTCACCACGCTATCATAAGGGCGGACAATAAGGCTACACCTTTAAGACTGGCAGACCAAAACTTCAGCCTTAGCGTGGACCAGCTCATACCCGAGCAACAACTGCAACAATGGAAGAGTAAGGCACTTCATGGTAAATACCGCACCCTACTCGAGAGCGATACCTTCGCATCCACGGCCTACCTCCGCTCTGGAAACCTGTTTGCTGAGACAGAAGGGTTCATATCTGCTATCCAAGATCAGGTCATCGCAACTAAAGTATATAAAAGAAACATAATGCGGGAACGACAAGACAATATCAGATGTCGTGTGTGCGGTGAAAAGGATGAATACCTGGACCACATCATCGCTGGCTGCTCAATGTTGGCACCGAAATCCTACCTAGACAGGCACAACAGAGTCGGAAAGATAATCCACCAAAGCCTTCGTGAAAAGTACATGGGATTGACAGAAATAGTGCCGTACTATTTATACGAGCCGCCTGCTGTGTGCGAAGATGAACAAACCCGGCTCTACTGGAATCGAAAAATTATAACTGATAGACCGATAAGTAATAATATACCGGATATCGTGCTCACTCTAAAAAATGAAAACAAAACATACATAGTAGATTTCGCTGTGCCATTGGGAGCCAACCTAGAAAAGACACATGGAGAAAAAATCAATAAATCCCTACCCCTGAGCGATGAAATCCGCCAAATGTGGGACATGGAAACAGTAGTCATCATCCCCATTGTGATCGGAGCAACTGGAGAAATACCAAAAAAATTAAAAACATCACTGCAACAACTAGGATTACCGTTTGAATTATACTTACCCATGCAAAAGTCGGTCGTATTGGACACAAGCAGTGTAGTCCGTAGAGTTTCAGGCGGCAACTAGAACAAGATGTTTTTAACATCAGCATCGAACGGGCCATCTTGTTTCAAAACCGATGTACCAGCGTTCTTAACCCAGGGAAGCCTGTGAATCAGTTAGATGATTAATGAATAATAATAATAATAATAATGAGTAAGGACCATTCAGACTACTAAAGTAACACATTGGTACAGGAATATGTAATTGAATCAAAAACAGACGAAGTGTCACCTGGAAGACAGATACACAAAATATATTGTCAAAAGTGTCAATTGTACCTGAAAAAGGTCACTGTTGGAACCAAAACTTCATACAATAAAAAAGAATTTTCGTTTACGTTGCTTTGATTCGGCCAGGCGAACATGGGGAATTATCATCATGAAAACCACAGGATAAGTTTCAGATGTTACATTAATAGATAATTTCTCCCAAGTTAGTATCTCCCGTACGATCCTGGATGCTTTACACCTGTACATCTGAGTAATAATTAACTAAGTTGGGTAAATACTTCGACCCAGTTCCACAATTCTATCTACGTAAACGGACCTAGCTCGGAAGTTAAACGTCACCTTGTGCATAGTCAACAGTGCGATAGTCAACTGTCGCATGATTAACGAGCGTGCTATCATCAGTTACATCAAAGCACACTGCGACCGTCACCAATCAAATTGATCGGTCGCCATGGCAACGTACGCGCCACCTGCGATCGCTGATCAACAAAGTTCCGATAGCTGTAGGTAACCATAACCGGTGTCTCACGGTACCTACCGATTTTCATATTTCTATTTATTTCCGATACTAATGACAAAACAAGCGGGGGATTTTCGTGCTGAGTCTACGATTCGTTGGCATCGACGAAGGTTCTGTTTTTTCGCGGTGAAGTTTTTCGGGTGGTTACCGAGGTAATATATGACTTCATTTATGATAATGCTTGTTAACTTGACATTTGCGGCTTTAGTAACGATATATTAGTTAATGTTAATGAAAGTGTTTGTGTTTTCAGTTTTTCCATGGATATTTACAATGTCTATCTTATGGTAATCACAACTTTTTACTGCTGATTCTGCCTTTACACATTCTCTTAAGCCGGTCTAACCTAATTTTATGTGGGTATCTGGACTAGTGCCTCTAAAATGTTTATACAGTACACAAATCCGCCTTACCGCAAACCTCTAAAATATAGACAATATCTAATAATTTGAGAAGCTCAGGCCTATTCAAAACGACTTGAGGACATCGAGATAGATAGAAAGATAATGTTTGCTCAAACCGGCTTAACCTAATTGTTCAGATCTGCTTATACAGTACCCCAAGTCGCTTTAACTCAAGCTAAACCACATTCTTAGAAAGTTCAACTTGATTTTCGGTGGCACCGATTTCAGTATCTGTATCTCGGTGAAGAAGCCCATGATCTGTTTTTATTCGATGTTTTCGATGCACATCCAGTTGGGCCTGATGAAGCCAATAAGCAAAAACCTACGTCACTCGGGTTACCAATTCTTCTGTTTCTGCTCCTGTTCCTTTACTTCTAAGTTTTAGCTTTGTTATTAAGTGAAACAATGAGAACGGGCATTAAGACTCCATGTACCGATTGTCGGTGTGCAGTACATCTGAGTATGGCATATTTTGGCTTCGGGCATGTTATTATAAACCGCGCATAAAAAATGGCATTATTAGGAGAATCTGAATCAAAAGGAGTTGAGGAACATCTGTAACCACTTTCTGGCGATTTTTTTCATAGCAAGTTCATTTGCTTCGAAAGAGAAGCCGTATTTGAAATTGAGACTTTTTCGAAGGATTTTTTCGAATTGAAAAGTATTATATTGGGATATGAAATATAGCGTTTTATAATTTATAGGAAAATTTGTGTACTTTTTGATGAAAGAAGTTGAGATTCAAAAGAAATGTGAGGTGCTAAACCTGAAATAAACACTTCAAACCAAAATTTGGGCAACTTCGCATTTTTATTTTCGACCGTTTTACTCCAAAATATAACCTAAAGAGTATTTAAATTATATCGTAAGCTTCAAGCCATAATTTGGTAACTTTTACCATTTGATACTTTTTTTTCACTCCAAAATATAACATAAAGTAAGTGTTTAGAATACACCAGAAGTTTTAAAATGGGAAGCGCATTCACTAAGGAGAGCTATTTTTATGTACATACCTACATAGGTACATGGCGCACTGAGTACGACGTTAAGCCGCGTACAGAGCGAAAATCCAACGCCGAGCAAGGAAGATATTATAATGCGCTCGTCTACACCTAAATTTAATTTCGAGTTGGTCAGCGTTGGGTTAAGTTCGGTGCTGATGTCGAATGCAGACAAATGACTAAGGCCCGTATCGTCAGTCGTCCCTACAATTGTAGGGCGCGTTTATGGCCTCCTTGATTGTCATACTCCTTTCTCTCCTTCAAAAATTTCTAGATTACACTTGTCCCGTGTCAGCGTCAGCGCTCTCCTATTGTGAAGATATGTTTTCTTTTTAAATTGTAGGAAATTACAGGCTGATAATACATGATATAACTCAAAAGCAAGCACAATTTGATGCAAATAGATGTTTGTGACGTAACCTCAAAATAGAGTTCTGACACGGAGAAGTAGAAAACTATTACAATCAAGGAGGCCATAAAGGCGCCCTACAATTGTAGGGACGACTGACGATACGGGCCTAAATGCTAGAAGCGCAACAAATCCTGTCCAGACCAAATCAAACCTCCCTTTGATGTACCGATCAAGGAGCAAAAGGAATCGAACACCAAAGTCGACCTTGGAAACCGTTAGCTTATGTCGGCTCGCACCATACACACTGATTCGAACACCTCCAAATCTGTAACCACATGTCCTTTGGATTGCGTTGGAATCTCTGTCTGTACGCGGCTTGAGGCTCTCGTTTGTCGGCTAGTCTGCGAAAAAGACGCATTAAGTAAAACTGCATTGTTGTTAAAATGACATGCTAAAAAGAATATTTTATTTTATAATCTTTACAATAAATCGCTCGCTAATGCTAGTTTTTCTAATCACAAAGCCTTCTAATGTATGTTTAATCAGTATTATCTAGGACTATTGCGAAGATCTCCGCCTGGAATACAGTGGTGTACCCGCAAGAGAAGGCTTGGCCTGGGTAGAAGCAATGTTTTTGGTTAAATCATTCAACTAGCAGCAATGTGTTTCTAACTTTGCCCTCAACCACAGTGTAGCGCCTTAAAGTACCGCCACCGGATTTCTCCTTGCGCTTCACAATTATTTTGATTTTACCTTTACCTTTTTTCAAAATGAAGACAGCAGCAGTGAGGTCCCTGGAGCTATGTGTTGCGTCCCTTAGCGGATGGGCCCTGAGCACTAGCTCCAGTTGCCCCTAAAGAGGTAAACATTTTATGAGGGTGATCCAAAAAATAACACAAATATATTAAGGGACATATAAACTGCAACACCCAGAATTATTTATTGAATTTCGATAAAAAACTTGTAGATATATTTGCTATCATGGAAGTATACGCTGATAAAATGTTGAAGGCATTCCGAGCCGTACTTTTTTTGTAAACGCTTTTTTTGTCATATAAGGATCAGAACAATATGGATATGTTTACTTAATATTCAGTGATTTTTCTGTATTTGTTCCATTGAATGGAATATGGAATGGGACTCAGTCGTGTTCAGCGATGAGTCCAGATTCTGTTTGGGCACACATGATGGCCGTGCAAGAGTAAGGAGGGGGCGTTGTGAAAGACTAGTCCAATATTCTATTGAACGGCATATTCATCGTACTGTGGGTGTTACGATATGGGGTACCGTTACTCACAGCACCAGGTCATATTCATTCGAGATAGCTTGAATGCCCAGCGCTAAATCCACGAAGTTTCACAACCGCATCTGCTTCCCTTCTTGGAAGATCCACTTTTTCAGCAGGACAGTGCGTGACTCGCACGTGTTAGTGTAGACTTTTTAGAAGCTTCCGGAATAAATCTGCTTCAGTTGCCTTCTCGATCTCCAGACCTTTCCCCTATCGAACATGTATTGCTCATGATGGGAAGAAGTTGCAACCAGACCCTCCACAAATATTGGAGGGTCTACGAAACTAAATTTAGATGGCCTGGGATACAATACTTACACCAAGAAAGCATCAATCCTGCGACGACTTAACGGATGTGTAGCGAACAGAGGAGCTTCAACACATTATTGACATTAAGGTGGGATATATCAGCTATTTTGCGAAATTTCGAGTTAAAAAATTTTACTTTCTATTTATCAGTAGACCTAAAACTTGTACTCGTATAAGTATGCTCAAAGTGACGGCACCCCTAGTCGATGTTGCATTTTCTATGTCATTTAGTATATTTCTACAGCACTGATTAGAGATAGGGCATATATATTCAAAATAAGGTTGTAGTGGGTTGGCATTATTATCTCAATATACTATACAGGGTGTTTCAGAAAGACATGCCAATGCTTCTAGGACTGAAAGTTCGTCTAAATATGAATCCAAAGATGCTGCCCTACAGAGATACAGAGGGATGAAGCTTAACTTACGGAATCGAAAAAAATTTATATCTACGGAGCGAGTAAAGATACTGAGTTACGATTTTAGACGTTCAGTGAGAACATCATAAGCAATAAACACACAGAGTTTCTGGGCCCAATCTGAACCAGGGACGTAGAAATTGAGGTATCTGGACGCCTAGTAGGAAATACTTTCTACGCCACTGGCCTTTCCGGAGAAAAAAGTGCATTTTATCAATTACCATTCTATTTACCATGAATTTTGTCATCTAAGGAATTTTTGTCAGATCACTCGTTTTGAGGAGAGAACTAGGCAGCAGCGGTGGCCGCAGTAGTAGACTCTTCGGTCTCCTGATCAGTCGCCGTGCGCTGTGCGGGTTCGAGTCCCGTCCCAGGAGAAATTTTTCTCTTGGCTATGATGTTGTGATTGTCGGTAGGTGGTAGATGGTCTCTGACTGTCGAACGCGGAGGTACCACCCGGCGGTTCTCGTAGGCGGAGCCAGAATGTGTGCATGTTGCATGCACACGTGTTCCCTCGCCAGAGTCCGTGTGGCGTCCCCCTTTTCCCATGTATCCCCCTATAGCCCCACGGTACCCAATGGGTGCTTAGGCCTTAGGCCTTCGTGGTAGTTGGAGTATAAAAAAAACACCGTGAAGCCTGATATTGGAAGCACTATGTGGCATGTGAACCCCTCACTATAACATTAATCGAATAATATGCGTATCTTATCCTCAATCAGTAGCGTAGAAGGTTACCTTCATTAAACCTTTCCTATGCATGGCACTAGTTTTGTCAGCATATCCATTTTGGTTTACATATAAAGAAACTTCAAAACAAAGAAAGAAAATATGTCAAAAATAAATGAATAAAACTAATAAGAACTAAAGACGACAACAATACATTTGATACAGATCTCATGATTATTTCTAAATTTATGAGGACATTTTGGACAAGAAATAACGCTGAATAAATGCTATAACATCCAACCTAAGGAAGATGTTGGAACTAACCACCTCTGGATTCAACACAAGCCCGTGCTCTACGCTACAAACACTCTCTGATTCCTTGGATTATACCAGGCGTAGTACGAACAGTGTTAAAAGCCTTCTGTATACTTCTTCCTTATACTTCCTGTCCGAGATTGCTAACGATTTGAGATATTTTCTTTGTTGATCTCACTTAATCCGAAATGCTAAAGAATTTAGAAAGGTAAGCCGACAATTTCAGAAGTAAAATAATAAGAAGTTTACTCATATTAATTGATTCCACAATTACTAGTTAAGATTTTAGACCAACAGAAGAATCTAACATGGGAAATAGGACAAGTATACCATGAGAACCAGTAGCGAGCATAGACAAAGTTTAATAAATGGTACGCTTCTGCGCTACTGATTGAGGACAAGATACGCATATTATTCAATTAATGTTGTAATGAGTTGTAGGTTTCTTCGCCATGTTTATAGTGTTTCCAGTACCAAGATTCACGATGTTTTCAGAATAGGGGAGGCTAAACCTTTTCATAAGATTATTATAGTATTAAACAGGGTGTTTTCAAAGTTGAGTCATTTATTTTAACAGCTTGTAGAACTCGTCAAACGAAGTTGATATACCAAAAATCACCTACATAAAAGTTAGTTTACATTATGAAAAATTATTTAAAAAAAATCATTGCTCGGCGAATCCACGACTCTTTACAAGAGTCGAAAATAAGATCCTAGTGTCCACGAATTAAATCACAAGCATTTTCAGTGCGCTGTTGCAGTTCCATCATGATACACCAACTCTTTCAAATAGCCCCACAAAAGAAAATCTCAAGACGTTAGATCCGTTTAGCGAGCAGAAATAATAATAATAATAATTAACGTTTGTATATTTGTAATATTCTTACAGGAGGCGAGATTTAGATAATATATCTATTCTACCATCTAACCCCCTTAAAAATACGAGATGTAAAAAAACAATGTGTTACCTGTATACAATAACGACAGAATAAAGTATAATCTCAGTAAATGCATAAAGAAAATATGAGGCCACCTATGGGTTACAACAGATTTCGCTGCTGATCAAGTAGGACTTCTTTATCTTTTTTCTTGAATGTGGGTGCCTAATGGATTGGTTTCTTTTAAACTGCGGTCTAAAGAAATATATGATTTGATCGCATTGTAAATATATGTATTCTGAAATAGAGATGTGCTGTGGCGTAGAATTGAAGAAGTCTGTATATCTAATATTAATGCCATGCATATTCCCTCTACGTATGAATTTGTTTACTAAATACGACGGTGTTTTTGAATAAAGAACCTTATGAGTCAGATTTAGGTGCTGATACTTATACATTTTATCAATTTTCATCCAGTTGAGTTCATTAATGGCATTCGATATATGATCATACTTTTTGAGACCATTTACAAGTCTGCAACATGTATTCATAATACTTTGAATACGATGTCTTGTTATAATGTCTAAATAGGGGAAGTAAACCACTAAGCAATACGATATCTTTGAAAACAAGAAAGATTCACACAATTGCTTTTTCTCACAGATTTATATAATATAGCCTTATTTGCAAATAATAACAAAACATTTTAAGTCCTCATCCATTATAATACCTAGGTTCTTCGAATGATCCACAGGAACCAATTTATTACCTTTTAAATGTATGTCTATGTCCTTTTTTAAAGTATTATTTTTTGTTCTATTTGCGTATATATAAGATTATGACTACTACTGAACTTTTCAGTTTGGGCAAGATCTTGGTTAATTTTATTATTTGCTGTTTACAAGTCATTACTCCTAAACGAATAGAAAATTTGAATATCGTCTGCAAAAAATTTTATGCTGCATGATTTTACCTCTGTTTCTAAATCTAAGATATATAATGAAAATATTAGGGGTTCTAAGACTGATCCCTGTGGTACACCAGAACAAATTTTTTGTTTGGTAGAGTACTGTTGATCTAGATGAACTTTTTGATACCGATTTTCAAGGTAGGTTTGAATAAACGAAAGAAGTTTTTCAGAAAATCCATAATAACTGCATTTAGACACAAGAACTGAGTAATTAATGGTGTCAAATGCTTTAGTAAAATCAAGAAGTATGAGAGATACTGTTTTTTCGTTATCAAGTGCCACTGTTATATTGTCTGCTAAATCACAGAGTGCCGAAGCTGTATTATGCCCCTGTCGAAATCCAGATTGTTTAGATGGAATAATTTTGTTAGAATATAAGTAGGCGCAGAGCTGCTCGTAAACAACGCGTTCCAATACTTTAGAAAAAATTGGCAGTAGACTGATCGGTCTCAGTTGACCATAGTTAGTAGGATCAGAACACTTAGGTAGCGGAACAACTATAGCGCGTTTCCACTGATTGGTAAAATATCCCCTCTCTAAACAGCAGTTGATAATATGTGTTAAGTACACATCAACTTCAGGTATACATAGTAGTATCATATGCAAAGTTATTCCATATGAACCACTAGAATTGTATAATTTTAATAATGGTGTCAATAGTCACTTTATTAAATTCAAATTTGGATTTTGAGTTATTTTTATTAGCTCGGTAATATGCAATTTTATCAGCACAACCCAAATCACTATTCTCGAAAATTGAAATGAATGCCTCATTCATTCTATACGGATCTATCTGATAAGCTCACGGGAATTGTAGAATCTTTCTGAGATTGCACTTTGAAAAGTCTTTAGGGTTTTATAAAACTTTTTTATATCCTGATTTTGAACAGCTTGTAAATAATCTCTTTTACCTCTCCGCACGAGCGTTAATGCACGATTTCTGAAATATGTATACTGTTGCCAAGAGGCAGCTGTACTGTACGATCACGTTTGAACTTTGACAAAGCTTCAGCTCTCTGCTTGAATACAAGTTTAATATTATCATCCAACCAAGGATCTGGAGCTTTGTTTACACGGACTACCTTTTTTGGACAGTGAACATTAAATAAACATAAAATACTATCTGTTAAAAAGTTAATTTTATCTTCAATGTCATCTACTGATATAATATGCCACCATGGAAAACTCTTGATATCTTGTTCAAACGCTATTTCGTTTAAACTATGGAAATCCCTGAATGTCACAAATTTCTGTTGATTTTTAGGAAGTGCAATACGTATATCACAGAACGTTAAATAGTGATCAGTAATCATAACAGCATTAATAGTGCCACTCCTAAGACAACTTTCAGGCTTGCTCAAATAAATAGGATCTAAGAGAGTGAGTGTCGATTCAGTTATCCTAGTTGGTTCAGATATTACCTGTTTCAGATTATAAGAATCAAGGCATTTAGTCAAGTTGTTACAACCTAAAAGCAAATTAACATTAATATCCCCTACAAGGATGATATCATCATATTCAGCTAATATGGCAGGTAACATGTCATCAAAGGTATTAGCGGCTTCTGTAACAGCGCTATGTGGGGGCCGATAGAATATACCAGCAATTTTTTGTTTTGGATCCATTGCGCCCCCTATTCTCTCTCACATTTAGGCGAAGGTGTTCTAATAATTTTGGCAGGTTGTGTCGAAGACAATCTAAATAAATTCCACTGGTCAGTCGAGTTGAAAAAAAGTAGGGTCCAATAAGCATGACACTTACCACACCAGATCTAACATTTAATGCAAATCTATGTTGAAAATGAGCATGCGGATTTTCTACTGCCCAAAAATGACTGTTGTGGAAATTCTGCACTCCATTTCGATTAAATGTGGCCTCGTCTGTACACAAAATTAATTTTGTAAAATCTTCATTACTGCCGTACTGTTCTAAAAGCCACTGACAACATGCAACTCTTCTAGGATGATCTTCAAGTTGTAATGATAAGGATAATACTGTTTTTATCGTATTGTCTTCCACACTTTACTATGAGAAACATCAACTTGAGCTGCTTTGGCTCTAGTACTCACTGTCGAGTTTTGCTAAAATGTCTTTCTCAACATTTCAGGTTGAGCAGGTCTTTCAGAGTGACCTCCTCGTTGTTCTTTTAAATGCCCTCTATCACGAAGTCTAATAACTAAATTTACAAACATTCCCTCATTCAATCTGCATGCTGCGGCTGCATTTTGTTGGCACGTGGGCACATGAGCCATTTTTGCGCACAAAATAATCAGACAAATGAAAGTACTAACTGACTGATACAACTGATCGAACCAAAGACTCATACTAAAAACCATACAATAACTCAAAAAGTGGTCGAGAATATCAAATAATAGTAATATAGATAATAGAGTAATAACATTCTTATTTTCAAAATATTTAATCTTTTACTATTTATTATGATTTTTGGTATATCAACTCCTTTTGACGAGTCCTACAAGCAGTTGAAATAAATGTTGAAAACACCCTGTATAGTACCCGAGTATAATAGATAAACAAGTCGGTGGCCTAGAAGATAATGTTCATCATTCGTCTGTAGGGGTCAGTCTTCCAATTTATACACCACTAGTGTGGTCGCAAAAACTTTTGTATAATAATTATAATGTTCGTACTGCGTGTCCGAAATTTAAATTCGATACTTTTTTCCACTTCAGAGCTATAATTTTTTCTCGATTTCGAAATTGTAATTTTACCAAAATGTATCTCACATATTTCCATTGTTTATAAACATTAAGACTCGAGATTTTCACAGATTTTAATTAAGGATCTTAACTTTAGGATCCAATTTATAATTTTATTATTAGTTCGATGGTCTTTAAGAGATAGCCACCTGAAGTGAGGGTACTCGCGTAAGTATTTCAGGGTGAGTTGATGGGGGAATCAGCTCTAGCTCGATTTATTTTCTGAAACTGAGTCTTCAAATCGAAGTGCACTATAAAATTTTACTACATCCCGGTTTCTAAGCGACGTCTTCTTTTAATTTCAGATAACTCGTCTGGCACATTTTCATTTTCCTTGAAAATCGGGAAATTCAAATTCAAATACTTTTATTATCCTAAGAGACATTACAAAGTATGTATAGGATTCGGTGGAATAAAAACTAATAAAACAACACAAAATAAATATATGTATAAAACAAACACACAAATAAATCATAACATAACAAACTCAGAGAGGCATAATAACGTTTACACAAGAAAACTTGTCAGTTTAGCCTTAAAATTATGTATATCTCCACATTCTTTAATATGGTTTGGTAGCCTATTGAAAATTCGTGGACCAAGTATTTCCGGAGATCTGACGCCGATCTTAAACTTGGCAAAATACACATTTAAGTCTCCAGCTTGTCTGGTCGAGTAAGAGTTAAAATTGTTTAAAAACCAAGTTTTGTTAATAAAAGTATATACAGCCATTGCGTATAAAAATAAAGATGGTACAGTTAAAATCTTAAGGCGCTTAAAAATATCCTTACAAGAATGCCTACTGCTGACTCCCATCATGCATCTAACCACTCTTTTTTGAACCAAAAATACTTGTTGGGCATTTGTAGACAGACCCCAGAAGCGAAAAACTTGAAACGTGGTATTCTTCAAAATCAAATTACTATGATATAATAAATTAACAATAAATCATTTACTTACAATAAAATTAAATTAATCACATTGAATTTAAATTTAAGTTATCCGTAATACTTTTTCTCCTTTTACATTTTTTTACTCTCTTTTAAAAAATGTTTACTCCTTTTAATTATGTATATATACTACGATGTAACTATTCTAATGGTTATTTTCCATTCAATATACCTATAACGGTTATTTTCGATACAAGTGAATTTGAATCTTTTTTGGAGCGAATTTAAATTAGATGTATTGTCCGTTTATTTTATGATAATATATTATAATAAAAAATACTCTATATAATACTATTATACCACCAAGAATGCAAATAAAATAAATATAAATGAAAGGCAAACGTGGGTCAATATTTTTTACAATTTATTATAGAGTGTATTCAAAGAGTGCAAATAAAATAAATATAAATGAAGGACAAACGTAGGTCAATATTTTTTACAATTTATTAGAGTGTATTTTGTTAAGAGTATACCAATTAACTGAATCATGAATTGTTCAAACAATTTTATTGTAAAATAATTATTTTATTAGAGTGAGAGTAAAAGTAAATGATTTATTGTTAATTCATTATTATTTCATATTATTTAATTTTGAAGAATACAAAGTGTTAAGCTCTCCGGGATTTCCAGATTTTCCAGGAAAATATGCCAGATGTCATTATTCCGACGAGTTACCCCAAATTAAAAAAGAAGGTTCTACGTTGCTTAGGTGCCTATTTCTTAAGACCTTTGCACTAATAGTCAAATTATAAATTGGATCATAAATTTAAGACCTTTAATTAAAATCCGTGAAAATGTCGAGTCCTAATGTTTGTAAACAAATGAGATATGAATTTAAAAAAAAATTATCTTGGCTCTTATTGGTCGTAGAAGTTTTTTTTTAAATATGCGTTTTTAACCACCTATGAAGGTCAACTTCTTGAAATAAATTACGTATATTGAAAAATTGAAAAATAATGGGGTTATTATAAGTGTTTATAACTACAAATTAGCGATTTTTAACATCATTTTCAGGACCAATTTTGAAATAAATAATTTTTTATATAAATTTTACTTTTGTAGATTGTTCTAGGACCATGTCTTGGACAAGAACATTTGTTTAAATAATTCGTCTCTGGGATTAACAATTAGCTTTTTACATAATCTATTAAACCAACCCGTCCATTTACAGTTGTTCTTGCAACAGTTATAAATATTTATTCAATATTGCTAAAAAGTCCCATATTTAGCTTAATTGTTTATCGATTTTAATTCTTAAAAAATAAAATTGAAGGTCTTTTTATGTTCTAAAATCTCCAGTTTACAGATTATTAATAGAATTTAATTTGGAAATCATAGAAGCAAAATATTGAATTTTGAGCTTTTCCTATTGTTTATAAAAAAGCAACGCATATCCGGCTGTATCTTTTTATGTATTTGTTATTAAAACTTTCAGATATCTGCAAAACTTTTTGATTTGTTGAGTCTCCATGTATTGTTCAGTTTGCAAAAGTCCGTTTTTAGTCTACAAATTGGCCATGTAACATCCTGTATACTACGAAAACATTAAAAAATGAGAGGCCTTTATAGCTGAACTTTACTAAAAATAGCACTCTTAGTTGGATAGGAGAATCATGAAACTCTCGATAAACAACTACCTACCACCAATTTGTAGTCTATTTTAAGCAAACTCGAAACGCGAGCACTTTCATTCTCAATTGCCTTACGTCAGAGATTGATCACAGATTTGACTCTTTGTTCATGTCATACGTAATTGTAACGTCACTCTGCTACAATCTACATTGATTAAGCCAATATGACGGTTTCAGATTGAGATCTAAAATGATTTATACTGGGAATTTACACAATTTATTACGTTAAGAGTGTGAAGGTTCCACAAGACCCATGGCGCAGTCAAAGGATAAGATGTCTGAGATCGACGAACACATCATGAAGAGATTCGATATACAGAAAAGACTGGGGAGAGGTGCATACGGTGTGTAGAAACTTTGTTTTTAAATACAGCAATCGAAGTAGTGCAAGGAACACCTACTTAAGGAGCCTTACTGAGAAAGCTGCATTCGTCACCTTTTCTTGATCGTTAATAATAAAACATTTATTCTCCAACAGTTCAGATACCATTTAGAGAGACATGATTTAATTTACAGTCTGCGCGCCATAAGTTGAAAAAAACAAAAAAGAGAAAAGTAGAGAGGAAAGAAACTATGAATATGATTAATAGATAACAGCAAAAAAGAATATATACCTATATCATGTAATGTTCACACATAAATATATAACAAACAAAAATGTCTAGAGAAAATGATAAAAAAGTCAAAGATGATAATTCCTGAAATCCACAACAGAAGATATACAAAAGCTCACAATCCTAATCGCACCGTTGCACATAACGTTTGTTGGTGCTTTAGACAGAAGATTTGTCTGTGCCCTCTTGCAGAAACTGATAACTTTATATTTGGATGTCACTCTAGGTACCAGGAAATCAATTTGCGATAGCAAAACAGGACAGTCAATGTTACCATGTAGTAATTTGTATAAAAATATGATCGACGCCTGCTATCTGCGCTTCTCCAAGGAAGTGATACTAAATCTATTCAATAATAATGAGTAGTCATATCCTCTTGGACGATAGACACCAATCACTTTTTTCTTTTGTACTTTTTCAGAGTTCATAGATATAAAATAATTGCATCGTATTCTAATTTACTTATAACAAGCAATGAAAATAACTTATTAAGCGTTGTGATATTGAAATTTCTACAATTTCTGATGATAAAGCCATATGTGCGATACGCATTTCTTATAATTTCACTGTTAAGGTAGTTGAAGGTGAGCTGACAATCGAAATGCACACCCAAATCTTTGAAAGTTTCGCACCTTTCCAATGCAGAATCATTTATTTTGTATGGGTAAGTTAAAAACTTTACTTTCCGGGTGAAGGTTAAAATGCGCCGTTTAAAGTTGTTCAAATAAAAATCTATATTGATATACCATATTTGTAAAAAAAATATTTGTTGTTGTCAATTTTGTAAAATCAACATATATGACATCCACTTGCCCCCTATTATCTACCTTTTCGCATAAATATTGACTGAACGTGTCCAAATTAGTAATAGTGGATCTCTGCTTCATAAAGCCAAACTGGTGCACTGATTGATGGTCTTTAGTTCCCAAGTATATTCAGGAATTATTTTGAAGGGCTTTGCAAAGTTACTCAGTATAGTAATAGGCCTATAATTATTGACTTAGGTTCTTTCTTGCGACTTGAAAATTTGGCAGATTTTGGCAGCCTTCCACTTATCAGGAAAAACTTACACCGTAATGAAAAACGATGAAATTTGAACTGGTCCTGGTTTCACTTATTGACTCGTTGTTATTTGTTTACAAGATCTCTCGAAAAACGCCTACTGAATAAAGTTATACTTCTTAAATGGGGTACTTTATTCGATAGCATTGACACCCTGTATACAGGGTGCGCCATCTTTTATGTCGGTATGTAAGCATGAAACAACTTTGAAAACGAAAAACTGATTTCTATGTATCGGGTATTTTTACTAAATATGGTCCTTTACAATTTATTGGGACTAGTTTTTGAACTCAACATCTATTAAGTGCCCACCTTTATTGGCCAAAACAAGATGTACCCATTTTACTGCGTTTTCGAGCATCTTTGATGGTATAGCGGCGATTGCGGTACGCATGTTTGCCTTGAAATCTTTAGTGGTCTGGGGCTTGCTGGCGTACACTTGACTTTTCAAATAACCCCACAAGAAGAAGTCCGGTGGGGTCAAATCTGGAGACCTGTGTGGCCAGTCAATGTCACCTCTTTTTGACATCGGGCGTCCAGGGAATTTTCGTTGCAGAAACTGGATTGTCTCATTTGCAGTGTGCATTGTTGAAACCAGTAACCATCGAGACCTTTTTCACACATTTGTGGGAAGACATAATGAGCCAACAACCACCGATATCGATTTCCATCGTCTGTTTTATTTTCGTTGAAGAAAAATGGCCCAATGATGGTTTTGGCGCAAACGCCGGCACAAACAGTCACTTTCCGGTCATGCAACGGCATTTCGTGGATCTCATGTGGATTTTCCGTCCCCCAAATGCGGCAGTTTTCCTTATAAACGCCGCCAGAGAGCGTGAAATGGGCCTCGTCGGTCATCACAATTTGCTAACAAAAATCAGGGTCAGCATCAACCAAGCGAGCGACTGTTTGGGCGTATTCCAAGCGACATCGACGGTCAGTTAGCAATATTTTTTGTGTTAACTGCATCTTATAAGGAAACAAATGCAAATCATTCTTCAAAATGCGTCGCAACGAGGTTCCGCTGATGCAAAAATCAGTGGCGCAATTAAGGAGGGGTTGGGGGGACTTAGCCGCAAACCCGATGGTCACAAACTTGATGGTAATGCCACAAATTAGCCCTCCCAAACCCGATAGTCACAAAATAGTACCTGCTATTAGAGCCATGTCATTTCCTTATTCTCATTCCTACTATACAAAGACATCTTCTTTGCGCTTGACTCGGCGCTTGATAACGTATTAAAGAAATGGCGTGGCGTGTACAATACACCTTGCGATCATGCGGTCGAAATCGAAAACGGTTTTCGGTCGTTTCGCGGGTTGGGGAGGAGAGAACGCGCGGCGGCCGACCAGCAGCCGATGGGCCATAGATTATTACAAAGGTGTTGTTGTTCAACTAAACAAGTAGTTACTTGGTGTCTGGTGTGTCCCAGAAATCGACTCTATTTAGTGCGCTTAGTTTATTATTGATTTGCCAGTGTCAAACAGGTAGGTAAATAAAATACTGAATAAATTTTAGTTAGTAGGAATGCCGAGAATTGAAAAAGCCCCGTAGACCGCGCTTTTTATTCCTAGACATCTACCGATTTTCTTTAAATTATGTTGTAGACATGAAGACATATAGACCTAGACAGCAGACAGGGGCTTCTCAAAAAACCTACTTTGTAAGTTAGTGGATATCATAGTGTTGATACAGGGGCGTGGGTATCAAAAGTGGAATTAATAACCATAAAAAAACTCTTTTTTTCAAAAATGCAAAGTAAGTACTATATTTTTTAGTAGGATTGAATTGAACATTACCGTAATGATAATGCAAAATTATTTTTTACAATTTATTCCAGTGACGTAGAACGTAGACATAAATTATTTGAAAAATCCAAAAATAATATTAAAATACCGATTTTTTTTAACGATTTCATTTAACTTCACAGAGCCTGGCTCTCTGTCTGTCAAATCATGCGATTAATTTTGACACACTTCCCGTGAACCGATTCTAATGAAATTTGGCTCAGGGGTGTTTCAGTTTATTGTTGCATAACTTTAAGATTCGATAGAATTTCCGTTATAGTTAGCCGTTTTTGAGATATTTCGATTTTTAAGGTTCGATGCATTTTTAATTATTTATGATAAAATAACGTTAAAAAGTCAGTATCTCGATAATTTTTAGAAGTAGGCCTGCAAATATTTTTGAAATTGAAAGCAGAATAAGGTTAAACGTCAATTAGTTGACAGTTAGTTTTGTTGTCTGTTGAAACCTGAAACATCTTTTTGCAATAGTGAATGCACGAAATTTAGTTTCTTTTTCCTATTTTTTTTTGTAAGTTTTATAAAAATGCCATTTTTATTCTCCAATCAAGAGTTAGCGGATATTCATTTTGTGTATGGCTTTGTAAATGGAAACGCAGCAGAAGCAGCCAGATAATACGCACGAAGATTTCCAAACAGACGACATCCAACTCGCTCAGTATGTGAGTGCATCGCCAAATAATTGAAAATGGTTTTGGAAATCTCCAAAGGGATCAAAACATAAATGTTCGTCAGTGTTAGGAGAGTTTCTGGTGACTTGGGAATTTCAGCAAGCCATGTTCACCGTGTTGTTAAAAATGACCATAGACGTCCTTACCATTTGCAACCTGTGCAAGGGCTACAGCCAGGGGACGGAGAACGAAGAATCACATTTTGTCAGTGGATTCTTGATAGAACTGATAATAATAGGGAGTTTTTAAGTAGCGTTTTATGGACCGATGAGTCATGCTTCACTAGACATGGAGTGGTAAATTTTCATAATCAACATATTTGGTCGCATGAAAATCCGCATGCAGTTCGGGAAAGAAATTTTCAACATGAATTTAGTGCGAACGTGTGGATTGGTATTTACCGTAATCGACTATTTGGACCCTACCTTTTGCCTGCAAGGTTAAATGCTGCGACCTTCTTGGAATTTTTAAAGGCTGAACATGCAAATATGTAGGATGATGTTATGTTAGATTTAAGAAGATTGGCCTGCTTCCAGCTTGATGGTTGTCCAGCTCATTATTCAAGAATAGTTAGAAACTGGCTGGACGAAAATTATCCCGAAAGATGGATCGGCCGTGGAGGATCAGTCGCCTGGCCTCCACGATCCCCTGACCTAAATCCATTAGATTTCTTTGTGTGGGGATTTCTAAAAGAAAAAGTGTACGAGACTCCCGTAACCACAAGAGAGCCTTATTTGAATAATGCTATACCACGTTCGATCATTCGTAGATGTGAATTGTGTATTGAACAATTGGGTTTACATTTCAAGCAACTACTTTAGATTTTGTATGTTTGTCCTAACTATCCAATAGCATTTTAGTTGTAAATGATTAATTTAATTTGTTAAAAATAATATTGGAAAATTAAACAAATTAATATTCTGTTTTTTTGTGTTTATTTGGAGTTAGGAATTATTGCTGTATTTAAAAACACAATCTAAACGATCATCTTAATTACTTGTAATGCCCAAATCGAAAATTTAAAAAAAAATATTTTCCCATAAATAATTAAAAATGCATCGAACCTTAAAAATCGAAATATCTCAAAAACGGCTAACTATAACGAAAACTCACAGGAGCTTTTTTATGTTGAAAAGTGCGAAGAATCATTTTTTTTATTCAAAAAGCAAAAAATTGCACTAAGAAAAATTTTTCGGTCATTTTAATACACTACAGGTACAGCAGAGAGCGCCCTCTAGCGGCTACAGTAAAACTATGCCCACGGTTCGTTTTGCCGTACCAAAAAACCCTTGTATACCAATTTTCACTGTTATACATCAAATATTGTTCGAAATATGTAAAAAAAACTATTTTAGAAAGTAAATTTAAACACCCTGTATTTCGGAAGCCATGCATTTTTCGACCAATGTTTATATAGACTTTATGCATTAATTTTAAAAGTTCTATCGAATCTTAAAGTTATGCAACAATAAACTGAAACACCCTGTAGGTCCGATGACAGTACAATGTTAAGAAAAAAATTTCGAGGTAGGAGGTGCTTGGTTGTTGAGGGGATGAATTCACAGCTTTTGAAACCAAAACAAACATGAGGTTTTCAGATTTATGATTTGATGTGGTGACAATACAATTTTATGCCAAAAAAAAAACGGAAATACGGGTGTGGGTGAGGAGTTTAAAAGGGGTCAATTCAGAACTTTGGAACCAAAACAGATACAAACATGCTGTTTTGAGATTTATGATTTGATCTGGTGACAATACAATTTTAGACATTCTGCATTTTGTTTCTCTCTGATTAAGATTTAAAAGTAAATAATATTTTTTTCAAGTTGAACGATTTTTTTTAAATTACACTGAAAATTAAAAAATAATTTGACAGATTTCTGTCCACACTTAACAATAGCATTAATGGCACGTTAAAAAGTTGCAGTTTTTTGGGTTGAATTATGCATGCTCAGTTGTTGCCTTCTATAATAGTATTTTGTGTTTGCAAAATTACTTCTTGTAGGTGGGTGTGTTGTTTGTTCACTTATGCTATTCGTACGTCTACTCAAAAATAATTTTAAATAAATGTTCTGAATGGAAAATTTGTTATTGCTATTTTTTTGTTTCAGATCAGATGGATATAAGAAAATTCTTCAATAAACTGAGTAAACCTAAATCTAGATCAAAGTCACCAGATAGATCGGACTCAAGTAACAGTGATGTTAAAGACAAAAGTGAAAAACAAATCTAAATGAAATTTTGAATGATAGCAAACCCGATATAAGCATAAACAATCATGAAACTAAAGAAGCAGTTTCTAGTGATAAAAATGAAATTAATAAAAACGAACCTACTGATCTTGGGTCAATTGACTCAAGACCCAAACAGCCGATCCTAGAAAATTTTCCTCAGACATATTTCGGAAAACAGAATAGGTCCTTCAATCCGACATACTACAAAACGTACAGCTGGATAGAGTATAGTATATCTCTGAATGCTGTATTTTTTTCCATGTCGGCAGTTTGGGAGTAATTGCGACGATGAAACTTTTCGAAAACATCGATGCCAAAATTGGAAGAAAATCGGGGAGAAGCTGAAAAAGCATAACTCGTCCAACCATATAGAAAATGATGTCAAATGGAATGCTTACCTCGAATCCAAGGAAAAGGGCAGTGTTTTTGTGAAGATGTCTGGTGCGCACAAAGATCTGATAACCAAAAATCGGGAATATATCAAAACTTTAGACGATATTTGCTTGACATTGGCAAAACAGGGACTAGCATTTCGAGGACACTGAAACCGAGTCTTCATTGAATCGCGGGAATTCTAAGGGAATATGTTGTAGTTTATTAGCTAAATACAATGAAGATTTTGCTTTGCAGTACCAAAAACAGATCAACTACACAAGCTGGCAAGTACAAAATGATTTGTTAGATTTGTTAGCTCAACAGTGTATCTCCTCAATTCTTTCAGAGATCAGAAAATCTAAGATATTTTCAATCATGGTGGACGATGCTCGCGCAGGGCGCAAAGAACAGATTTCCCTATGCGTGAGATATCCATCCAACTTAGAAATAAAAGAGAGGTTTCTCAAGTTTATCGACTGCTCGGGAAAAACTACCGCAGCAGAGCTATATGAATTGATAAAACAGGACCTCGTAGATCCACGATTATCAGAGCTGAATCTAGTAGGCCAGTCCTATGATAGAGCAGCTGTGATGTCTGGGCAAATGGGGGGCCTCCAAGCCCAAATTAGGGAGACATACCCTTATGCTCTATATATGCATTGTATGGCGCACATAGTAAATTTAGCGCTTCTTGACTCTTGCAAAAATATGCAGTCTATCGTACATTTTTTTAACAAGCTACAGGCTTTATATGATCATTTTTCAAAGCTGCCACATCATATTAGATACAAAAATGTAATTCAAGATTTGGGTATTAAAGTCAAGGAGCTATCTCAACTTTCAGATACCAGGTGGGTGTCAAGATTCAGTAGCTGCACCGCAGTATAAAAAGTATATCCCACCATTGTGAGTCTACTTGGACAAGAAATCGAAGAAAGGCGAGTTCAACAAGCCCTAACCGCTGTAGGAACATTATCCTGTATGAAACAGGCATCCTTCATAGTCTATTTGTTAGTACTGGAAGAACTTATCACTACGCTTAAGTCAGAGTCACTACAGTCAAAAACCACCACCTTGGGAGAGGCTGCAAATGTGATAAAAGGAGTAATAACTACTTTGGAGTCAATGCGCACAGATCAAACCTATGAGAAAATTCATGAGAAAATAAGTTTTCGAACCAAGTAGATTTGAGTTTGGACCCTCCATCCTCAAAAAGAAAGGAAAATTTACCATCGAAACTGAAAGATTATTAGAAGAAGGCATAAATGCTCCAAATGTTGTAGATTGTTGGAGAGCCCATGTCTTCTATAGAATCTTAGATTCTCTGGTAGGTTTTTAAAAATCAATATTCTCCGAGGAAAGCCTTCGCAATACGACATCCATGCCTTTTATTGAATACTATGCAGAGTATTTTAGGTTGGAGAAAAATATAAAGGCGGAAATGAATGTTTTAAGAAACAGCTTAGCAAATGGACGAAACGATGCATCTTACGAAACTCTTCGAAATGAACTGACACCGGAAATCTTTCAATCTGTATATACTTTGTTTCAAGTGGAAATAACGTTACCAGTAACGTCTGCCACGTGCCACACGTCATTCTCTATTATGCGGATCATTTTGAATTGGCTACGACTTTCTATGGGCTAAGAAAGATTTTCTGCACTTGGATTGTTATTTATCGAAAAGGATATAGAAATAAATTTGGAAGACGTGATTGCTGAATATGCATCTAAAAACAGAAAAAGAAATTGTGTATTAAATTTTAAGTTTTTAACCCTTTTGTCTGCTGGTCCATCCGCCTGTCTGTGCACTTAGAAGGAATTTAATTTAAAAGAACTTGTTCCAGTTTTTAAGTTGTTTTTAGCACCGATTTAAGTTATTTAAGTTTTAAACTCGATATATTTTTGACTTTCATATTATGTATGTATATTAAAATGTCTTTTATAACTTTGTTTTTTTTCCAACTAAGAACGTAGATTATATCAAAGAACAAAGTTCATAGCCGAGGATTTCCGTCAAGTTCAGGCATTTGTGAAATACATACTGTAGTAAGTTTTAAAGAACATCATATTTATACTGTCACTAAATCGACTTATAGAGACCCGGGGCTCAAGTCCCCCCAAAATCAGCAAGCTAAAGTTGCGCCACTGGCCAAAATGCTGAGCGCGGTGACGATACGGTACTTTTGGGTTCTGACCGCTTCAACCAATTCATTGGATCGTCTTGGTCGTTGATGAACGGTATGTTGGCGATCTCCTACTGTCCCGTACTCAAGAACATTCGAAACCAAACGACGGATAGTGTTGTAAAACGCCTATTTGCCACGATATTTTCGACGATATGCACGTTGCGTTAACAGAACTGAACGACGATTTTCAATGTACATTGTGACTATTTCGGCGCGTTTTCTTACAAAGTATATATAAAAATCAGTCATTGGAATCTAAGTTAGGTTAGTCCCATTTTGACTTACCTTTCTTACCTGGTTAAATACTATACCTGTAGGTGCTACTAAATGCGTTTTGCCTTTAGAAAAATAAGTTATGTCTGGCAGCACAGGGTTCTTGGGACTATTTCGTAAGGTTACAGTACCAATTACATGAATCAGTTATGTCAAAACATTATTAGCATATCTGTTATAGGCAGGGGGGAAGTATTGTGATCATGAACATTTTCAAATGTAGTATGTTTTGTAGGAGTTTGTAGCACAGTTAAAACATAGAGAGTTTAATCTTTGGACTATTTCGTAAGGTTACAGTTCCAGTTCCATGAATCAGTTATATTAAAATGTTATTAGTATAACAGCTACAGGTAGTGAGGGAAGTACTGTGATCCTGAAAATATTCTAATTTAATAAGTTTTGTAGGAGTTTGTAGCTTTTGGTCAATTTTTACTTCCGCACTGTGCCATCTACTACCAAAATCGACCACTGCGAGAGTGAAAACAGTATGCCGGTTGGCATTGTCAGTTTGGTCACCACTGTGGCCGCTAGATGCCGCCGATTCTGGACCTATAGTAGGAACGGTCTACCCTATTGGGCCTGTTTTTATTTTATATTTATTTACTCATGTCGTTTTCTTTGTACATTGAATGAATAAATATTATTATTGTTATTATTGGAAAAAGAAAACTAAAATAGGCAACCTGGGCTCCGACATACCAAGCTACCGTTCCATTACCAACTAGCCACTCGTCACACGGTGACGTAAGCAACTGGTTTGTCCGCACTGTGCCATCTATTACCAAAATCGACCACTGCGAGAGTGAAAACAGTATGCCGGTTCGCATTGTCAGCTTTCTCACCACTGTGGCCGCTAGATGCCGCCGATTCTGGTCCTATAGTAGGAACGGTCTACCCTATTGGGCCTGTTTTGATTTTATATTTATTTACTCATGTCATTTTCTTTGTACATTGAATGAATAAATATTATTATTGTTATTATTGGGAAAAGAAAACTAAAATAGGCAACCTGGGCTCCGGCATACCAAGCTAGCCACTCTTCACACGGTGACGTAAGCAACTGGTTTGTCCGCAAATCGTGTGCCCTAAGTAGGCGGAGGAAAACGAGAATGACCTCTTTCTACATCCTCCTGGCTAAGAAGCTTGCCGATGTTCTGCATACCGGTATGGATTTAATTGCAGAGAGCAGTATATTCCTCATCCCACCCAAGGATCCAATGACCATAACTAGTGGACTGGCAGTGTGGTTTTTCCTGCTCCTTCAAGACGATGTTCACTTCGGCCGGAGCCGAAAATTCAATAACGGACATGGCCTTCCGTTCATGATCGAATACTATGTCGGGCTTATTTGCCGACAACTTGTCAGTGGGGAACGAGTAATTCCAGTAAATCGGGCATTTTTCGTTCTCGACAATGTACTCAATATCCCCTGGAGCATGTTTCATCTATACAGTAGGAGTCTGCAGTTGGCATCTGGTAAATACGCACCCATAACCCTACTACGGTATATCAAGGTGTTAAAAACACCATTTTGGCAAGCCAAAATGAATCCTTCAGTCTCATGCATTATTATTATTTTCTTTTTCTTCTTCCCCCTTTGGTTCCTATTCTCTCATCTAGTACAGAGTAAGGGGTATCTAGACACACAGATAGTTGCATATCAGAGCGCATTTGGCTAACATGATTGCTCTTAGCAAGTTCCCATTACTTTCCTTAGAATTGTGCAAGTATTAAGAATAGAAGCTTTTTGCATCTTAGCAATCAACGGTTGCATAAGATCCAGTTTCACTAGACATTTTTTAAGCTGACGGGAATTATGCCAGAGGCGGATACTATCATCGGCAATATTTCTACTTGTGCGAGGCCCCATTGCTCTTTGAGGTTCTGAGCTAGCTCCCTATATTTCTCTACCTTGTTTCTGGAGGTTGACTCTATATTATTGTCATTGGTGACTGCGAAGTCTACTATCCAAACTTTTTTTTTATAATATTCCATAATAGTAGAACTGGTCTATTTGCAGGGGTAGTTCTGTCTATAAGGATGGATCTGTCCCAATACAACTTGTAGTTTTGATTACAGATTATACTGGATGTGGTACATACTTATAAGCAAACCTACTTTCCTGGATAAGATTGTGCCTAATAGCAAGAGCATGGTGAACTATCTTTCATACAGCATCATGTCGTCGTTTGTAGTCTATAGCTGCTAGTGTGCTGCATCCTCCTGTGATGTGCTCGATGGTTTCTCCAACATGGCCAGATATTCTGCATTTGTCTTCAACTATGTTTGGATCCTTGACAATATATTTGAGGTAATTTCTTGTAAGTATGACTTGGTCCTGGATGGCGACGATATATCCTTCAGTTTCTGTGAAAAGTTGGCCAGCATATAAATAATGAATTGACCTCCTCTTACCAAAGTTTTCAGAGTCTAGAATTGCTGGGTATCTTCCATGCAAAGCCTTTCTCTTCCAGGACTCTTTCATATCTTCTATGGTCATCATAGTCAGTAAGCATTCGTTCCGAGGTGTATATCTATCATCATAAGTGCAAATAGCATTATGCAACAAAGAGCACACTGACTGTCTGGAAAAGTATGAACGCAATGACTGTATTTGTTTGGTGTTGATGTCTGTCAGGTTAATAAAGCCTAGTCCTCCTTCACTGCGTAGAATATACATTCGCTCTACAGAACTTCTCGGGTGGTGATTTCTTTACAACGTCATCTATACCCTAACTTTCCTGTCAAGTTCTTCAAGATCGGTTTGACGCCATTTGATCACTTCCATGGTATATAGAATTATAGGGATAACATAAGTGTTAATGGCTGTCGTCAAGTTCTTCGAGTTGAAGTATGACTTGAGTACCTGTTTAAGCCTCCTTATAAACTCAACTTTAAGACGCTCCTTAATTTTGGTGTGCTCGATAGCGCTACACTGTTGTATTTCCAGATATTTATAAACTTCATCCGAACCCTATGTACTTATCATTTCATCCTGGGCTGTACGATATATTATGTCCTGGCTGAGTTTCCCCTTAGTAATGCCTTGTATTTTGCATTTCTCAAAGCAAACATCATTCGAGAAGTTTTCTGTTAGCCTCACATGCTCCTGTCGGCCCTGCTTTGCCCTCGCGTAAAGCTTCAAGTCATGTCATCTATATAAAATAGATGACAAAAACTATGCTTTTCTCATGGCCCGATCTTCAATTCAAAGCCTCTCTTCAAGCCATTTAGTATTGTTGTAAGAGGATGTAATACAAGACAAAACCATGTTGGGCTAAGCGTGTCGCCTTGGAAAATTCCTGTTTTAATTAGAATCTTTCTCGTGGTTATAAACCTGTGCTCTACTAATGCGTTATGTTGCAAGGGGTTCTTGTACTGTTTGCCAAATCGTCGTCCACAGATGTAGGCCTTCTTAGGTGTACTGTTGTACTCCACTTCAACATTGTAAATTGTAAAAATTTAAAGATTTTGTTATCTACTTTATAGATTTGAAAGACTCTCACAAGGCAGTCGTGTGGAATCGAATCATATGCTTTGCGTTAGTCTATAAAAGCTGTATACAGATTACGTTGTCTTTTGACTGCCTCAGTCATGACTACACTATCGATAACCAGTTGATCCTTACACGCGAGTGACCCCTTCCTACAACCTTTCTGTACCTCTCCAATAATATTGTTTCTGTCGCAGTGAGTAGTTATCTTTTCTGTAGAATGTATTTAGGCAAGTAATCGGTCTATAATCAGGAGGATTAGCTGAAATACCTTTCTTGATTATTAATAATGTACCTTCACATAGTTTTTCCGGTAAACCAGCTTCACTGTTTAAGAGGTGATTAATTATCGCCATCATCTTGACATGTAAGACGTGTAGCTTTTTGATCCAAAAATTTTGCAGATGGTCGACACCAGAACATTTCCAGTTGCTCAGTTTACTTATAATTGTTTGGAATATGTCCTTCTGAATGACAACATCTGGCATACGCATATATTCTCACTTAGTGCTTCTATACCCTTTATCCATACTGCGTCTGTAGAGTACTCGTACTTCTGTTTATGTGCCCATATTCCTATCCAGAATTCTTGTATTTCCTCTGCAGTGGGCAAACCTTCCATGTTGTACGTTTCATTTCGTTCTTGCTGGATCTGTTTGTAAAACATTTTTTGACTTATGCCAAATTTGGAATTGTCGTCCCTTCTCTGCTTACTCTTTTTATAACGCCGCAAAATGTATAGATTCTTTTTATACGGGGTACGCTGTAACCCATCCTTTTGCTTCTACTGCCGTTTTTGTAGGCAGTAAGTATCGCTATGCTTTCTCTCAACTCGTCTACTCGTTTCTCCAGACGACGTTGCCATGGTGCCTTTACACCTCTCCTATATCTTCCGCAGAAATAACCATCCGAAATCATTGACCCCTTACAAATTGATATCTCAACTGACGTACTAAATATGTAGTGGTACAACGTATCGTAATCTTGAATTTGGCCTAGATGTTTAGGGATAATTTTATCGTTTGCAACACTTAAGAGGTCCGCTAGCTTACTGCATTCACATTGCTTTGGGATTCTAGGTCTTAAGCTAGGTTTTATTCCGTTATATTTTAATAACTTTGTGTTGAATTCATTTTCTAGCCATTAGATTCCTCAAGAGCTATGTGGCATTCATCCATTGTATTTATGTCATTAGCTGGAAGTACAGAAACCACTCCTATTGGACCTTGCATGCCATCTCTATTGCTTGGTGCTTGTTCCAGCTGCACCTGCTGCTTAAGGTAATTTCGTATAAATTCTGGTACAAGATCCTTCCAAAAGATAGCTGCTTTTCGATCTGCAATGTTCTGTTCCGTGGCTTGCGCAGACGTAGGGTACTTCTCGGAGTTCATGCCTATAACCAACAAAATCGGTTTCGCAATTAGTCAGGCGGTAATAAGTACGAACAATGAATTCATTCATTTCTTGTGTCCACTGTATTCTTCGCCTAGGTTTTCCTGCCAGAGTGGTCCCTAATTGGGAAAGACCACAAGCAGTTTCTGCAGTGCCTTGTCCATTCTCAATCTCAATCGTTTGGCTGCTGGTCACTTAGCATACCAGTTCCAGTGCCCGACACGCGGGAGTTATTTGGTGATCCCGACACTTCTTGGTTGCTCGTAATATTTCTTCGTGTTCTCCTCATTTGAATGGTTGTGTTGGCATTTTGAGACCACTTGCCAGAGTTCTGACTGCAGCCGCCTCACTGGAGTACAGACGCTGACCATATCGCCGCTTACTGTAAGACTGACGCAATATGATGAATTTCACTTTTACTTTGTGTCAACTCCGTAAACATTGAAGCTATCATAATAAAAAACAAGAAACTATCGTTAGACGAATTTCTCAAAAAATTGGAGAATATGATGCTTGCAGCTATACCCTTCATACACTCGCCATTGCACTGCTTGGACAATAGTGGTGAGGTATCAATAATTCACATAAGATGATCGATAGAAGGTTATATTATATTTATGTGTCACACATCGACCTTTGAATGTTTTCGCCCCGATTTTGGATATATTTATTTTCATAAATAGCTGGGCCACTTAAAAATAGTATCATAATTGTTTGATGCCGATATACACCTATATTTTCATTTGAATAGATCAGAAATTATTATTAAAGTTATCAATGTTCATTTTATATAGTTTTTGGAAGAAGAGTAATTTTCTGATAAAATGTTGGTAATAACGAATTGTAGATCTAATTTATCTAATAATGGTTTCTTGTTCTACATTTTAAAAGCTACATGTATTTTATGCAAAGTCTTATCTTATCATCTAAGATAGAGGGTAAAAATCAGTATCTTTTGTCACGTTTGAATATTGGTCATCTAGTTCAATTCAATCTAATTTATTTTCCATAGACAGACAATACTGTATAGTAATTGTCAATACAATGAATCCTAAGACTAAAAAATAAAGGTAATTAATTTTTCCTGATAAAACTACAAAAACTCTGCCAGACTATAAAAACTGTTCTCCAACAGATAACTTTTGAGTTCTTTTTTAAAGGATTTCTTACTAGTTTTTACTTTTATATACTCCGGTAGGCGAATGAAAATTTTTGGTCCCATTACAGTGGGCGAACCTGTAGTTGTATTACATCTGGCAAATGTAACTAGCAATGAATTTTTCTGTTTTGTATTTATGTATATCGTGTGTACTACCTACTAATGGAAATCTGTTTTTGATGATAAACACGTATACACATACATAACTCTAAGATATATAGGCACGTAAGAGGTAAAATTTCAAAACTATTTAAGCATGACTCAGTGTTAGGGATACCAGCAATACTTCTAACAATCTTCTTCCGAGCATGGGTAGAACTACCCCATAAGCAAATTCCATAACGGAGTCGAGATTCGACCTGGACGTAATAAACTGAGATTATTTGAGGTGTGTTTAATAGGTAGGTTTCTAGACACAAAAATAAGCGAATTCAGTTTAGTTGTTAAATTTTCACATTAAATCTTCCATGATAACGTGTCTTCAACGTGCAGACCCAAAAATCTACCTTAATTGCACTCGTTCGTTTGGAGTGTTGTTTTCTCTAAATTTGTGTAAAGGTCTAAATCATATGGATAAGATACTACGTCACGAACGGCAGTATTACAACGCTTATAGTTAATTGATGTCATCCGCATACATAACGTAGTTTTTTCCTATGTCACTTAGTTTATATGTGTACAATAAAAACAGAATAGGTCCTAAAACTGGCCCCTTGCGGAACTTCCATAAATGAGGTTTCTCTTATTAATGTTACTTCATCAACCGACTTTGTTCCAACATGTTGGATAGTAAAATATTGCTATCGATTCCAGCGGCTTACCTCTTATACCGTATTCTTCTAATATGGATAATAATATTGAATGACTAACACAGTCAGCCTGCTCATGTCAATAAATACAGTCACAGGGCATTGGCCCATCTGAAATACTTTCCAGGATGTTAATGAGATA